TTTCTTTCTTTCTTTCTTTCTTTCTTTCTTTCTTCCTTCCTTCCTTCCTTCCTTCCTTCCTTCTTTCCTTCCTTCCTATTTCATCTTTCCTCCCTTCCTTCCTTTCTTCCTTTGTTGAAGACAGGGTTTTGCTACGTAGCTCAGGCTGTCCTAGACCTACTCTGTTAGCCAGGCTGGCCTTCAACTCACAGCAATCCTCCTGCCTCGGCCTCCCAAGTACTGGGATTACAGATGTGCACAATCACATCTGGATTAATCTATTCAAAGCTTTATTTCACTGTAAGAAAAATATACTGATTGGCCAGCCAAATAGTTCAGCGGATTAAAGCACCTGCTTAGGCAGATGCAGGGGCTGGGAGTTTGATACCTTGACATGCCATGTAGGCCCCACTCCCGGGCACGCTGAGATGGCAACTGAGACTAGGTGTGGTGGCATGCACCTGTAATCCCAGCACTTGGGAGGCTGCAAACAGGAGGATCACCACGAGTCCAATCTATGCAGTGAGACCCTGTACACCCTTTCCTAAATCAAAAAAAAAAAAAAGAAAGAAAGAAAGAAAAAAGAAAATGTACTGATTAAGAAAAAAGAAAATGTACTGATCAAATATTTCATCCCTTCTTCCAAACCTTCAAAAAATTCTCTTTGCTTCCAGATTCTATTATACTGTAATATCCTGCTACATGAGACAGGCTTGAAGTAAAGACCTCACAATATATGCTGCTTAAAGTACAAAACTATATGCTGTGAGTTGCTTTTCATTTTCTTCCTTTCGAGACAAGGTCTCCCTTGCAGCTCAGCCTGGCCTGGACTTCACTAGACAGCCCAGACCGGCCTCAAGCCCACAGTGATCTTCTGCCTCAGCTTCCTGGGGGCTGGTATACAGGCACGCACTACCATGCCTGGTTTACATGTGTTGTTTTCAAATCTTGTTTAAAAAGATTAGCACTCAAGAGACATTTATTTTCTATTTCAGCTTTTTCTATGACTTCTAAGTGCTTACCAATCACAGAATACCAAATTTGGAAATCCAATGGCCAATTCTGGGGGAGGTCTTTTTGAGACAGGAAGTAAAGAACCCCACATGCCATTCCTATCAACTGCAGGGTAACAAGACAAAAGAGGATCCCAAGTGGGCTCAGCCTGGCAGAAGCCTCCACATGACAAACTACATCCCAGTTTCATGAGCACTAGCTTTCAGCTAAAGGAAAACCCTTCAAGTATAAACTGCATGTCTCTCCTTACTCACTTGCATCATTAGATCTTAAGAGCCTACAAACCACCTTCAATTATATTTCAGGCTGCATTCTAGTCAGTTCTAAGCTCACTGACAGAACCTGTGAGCTCAAAGCTCACGACAGACCTTTAATTTGTTCTAATTTCCTCCCCAAAGTCAATGGTGGCAGTAAAACTGGAATCATAAAAACTCATGTCATGTGAGACTTCACAAGCCACCCCGCATTTCGGATGTAAAAGAGAAGAAATGAGACTCAGAGGTCTCAGTGCTAGGAAAGGAGGGTCTCAGACTCCTCCCCAGTGCAAGGGCTGGTTCCCCTGCTCTCTGCCCAATCCCCACCATGTCAGCCAACTGCTCCTTTCTTTTTTGTTATCATAAACTATTTGCTTAGATAGTTGGTATCTTGATGTTACACTTATCTTTGGAAAATATAGGCTTTTTCTGCCTCTTTGCTTACAGAACTTATATGAATGTATTTGTACAGAATGTGAAAATTAGAGAGGATATAAAGAACCAGAAGAGGGTGGGGGAGATGGCTCAGTAGAATAAGCGCTTCCCTGGCAAGCGCAAGGGCCTGAGTTCAGTCCCCAGTTCCGCAAAAAGAAAAGAAGCAGAAGAAAACATAACACATAATCCTACCCTCTGGAGAGGGGATAGTTAGGATTCTGGCATATTTCTTTCCAATGCTAAATGTTTCAAAAATCCTATTACACGGCACATACAGCGTCACATCCCACTTGCTTATTTTCACTTGTGTATGTTCCTACTGGGCTTAGACATCCTCCATAAATGTATTATATTTCTCATTCTTCAACAGGAACTAACCATCTGTCAAAAGAACTGAACAGTGAATATTACATCACGGCTCATTCTGTGGCTCTGGAGGCTTTTTCATCTGTGTTTTGAAATTATCTTGCTGCCCAAAGGCCACATGTACTTTCTTCTGCTTATTTACTTGGATCCATAAAACTCCCCCACTTAAGTGAGTCTGGCCGCACTCTGCCCAGCACAAGCCAACATCAATACCTGCACTACTTGCCTTTGAAATAAGAGGCACACGGAAAGTCCTCATTTTAAAAGGAAAAATTAGACTGAAGCAAAAACAGAATTCTACTGTATCAGAAAGGGCCCTAAGTCAACAGCCATGGAGACTCAGGCCTGCATTCCCAAACAGAGCGAACGGCACAGAAAACCCTCTTTCGCAGCACCATTCTCAGAGCCGAGTCCAGGCATTAGGCGCCCATGGGCTTACTCAGAGGTGGAGGAACACATCGTGGGAAGGCTGCTTCCCAGCTTTAACAGGATGCAAACGTTTATTTGTACACAAAGGCTGACCCACAGGAGGCCCACGGTTCACCCCCGGAACGCTCACAGCGCTGTGGGCCCCTGATGCTACTGGCAGGGTCCTCCCTGCCACGGGAACAAAATCTACGTGAGGGCCTTCTCTGCCTCCCCCAGCGCCTTATCTTCAGTGCTATCACTGGCTTACCTTTTGTCCAAGGGCACAGAACGCACAATTAAAAACCCATAAATGAAACAAGCGAAACCCACCAAGGAGAAGAATCTGATCTCTCTCTGGAGATTTAAACTAAAACTAAAAATTGAGAAAGATACTATGTCAAATGTATGGCCATGCGGTGATTACATAAAGGTCTCCATACCCGGGCCAGCACTTTCATACGGACAACAGGGCACCCATGCTTTCAGCAGTTATTGCAAAAGCAGTCTGGGCTCAACAAATGCTACTGTCTGAAGTCTGACTGGTAACGGCCGCACTCGGCCTCCTCCCAGCCAGCGGTGCCCTTCGCCTCCGCGGGCTGCACCGGGCTCACGAGAGCACGCAGCGCTGGCAGGCAGCAGGCCTTTACCTCGGGACCGAGCTCCTCACACGCCAAGCGCTGTGGCTCAGGCTGAAAAGGGCTCTGTGACCACTCAAGTCTTAGGTATGAAACAGGCCCGGTGGCCATCAGTAACCCACGTTCCTTGAAGAGCAATCTGGCCAGGGAGACGGTGCTGCTGTTGCCAGGGCTTTCTATGGTGCGCCACCTCCAAAGCCAGGCTCTTCGACCATTACCAGCCCCCGGCTGTTTCTAGACAGACCGCAGTTCATCCTTCCCATCAGAGTCACTGAGTCAGAACACTTAAATCACGGGAATTTAAAAACACGCACTGAACGCCTGCTGGGGCAAGCTTGGGCAAATGTACAGGGACCTCCGTTCGACCTCCAGCACCACAGGCTGCGCACACCAGCCCAACACCCCTCCCCACCCCCGGTGGGCTGAGCTGGCCACAAAAAAATAAATAAGTAAAAATTTTTAAAAATACAAATAAAACATGTGCTTAAAGAAAAGTCAGCACTAATCTGTGAAACACAGATGATACATCAGTGCCTATGACTGCTGTGAAAATACAGTCTTGCAGCCAGTTGCAAGGTAACTATTAATTAAAAATCGTATGTTTATCCCAAACATTTGTGTTTGCTTGTTTTCTGGTTTTTTAAGACAGAGTCTTCGGGGGCTTGCATGTTAGAACGTTGGTCCCCAGAGAGGCACAACCTGGAATGGCCTGGTAGGGGTTCTGGACTGCCTAGTAGATCGCTAAGTCACTGTGGCTGTGCCCTAGAAAGGCATGTGACACATCTCCCTCCCTCGTTTCCTGGCTATACTGTCCCACCATGATGCAATGCCCCAGGCCACACAATAGGACCATGGACTGAAAACCCAGAACTGGGAGCCACGGCACACTTTTCATATTTATTTATTCATTCATTTGGTACAGGGTCTCACTATTAGCTTGGACTTTTTTTTTTTTTTTTTTTCAGAACCAGGGATTGAACTCAGACCCTTGTGCTTGCCAGGCAAGTGCTTATTCTACTGAACCATCCCCCTAGCCCCTAGCTTGGACTTGTAGTGATCCTCCTGTCTCAGCCTCCCCAGTGCTGGGATTACAGGCATGCACCACCACATCCAGTTTTGGGACCAGCATGGTGCACCCGGGGTTCTGAAGCCAGCACAGCATGCAACACTGGGGACTGAACTTGGGAGATTGTGCTTACCAGGCAGGTGTTTAGACCACCGAGCTATATTTTATTTTATTTTTGTGGTACCAGGGATTGAACTCAGGGCCTTGCACTTGCCAGGCAAGCACTTATTCTACTGAGCTATCTTCCCAGCCCACCATCCTCTTTATAAAGTCTCAGGTAGCAATGGAAAGCTAACAGACAACGATTCCAAACACTTTCAAAGACACCTTAAAAAAAAAAAAAGACACCCTAATTAATCAGTGTGCATTGCTAGAGTTTGCAAACATTTACCTGCAAGCTGTTGTTCAGTAAATCAAAGTCACTGTATCTTCTAACAATCTGTAAGAGACAAGACAGTGGAGTTTTGATTCAGGAAGGACATCTTTTTCCATTTCCTTTCACATTTTCTGCCATGTTAGAGCTGTGACACTGTGATAAGTGGGATGTGGCCTTCCTGGTACTTACAACTTGTTTAACCTTACAGATGCAGAACACAGCCCCAGCCAAGCCCCAGAGTTGACTAGGCCACGCGAACATATTTTTATTGCCAGACAACTCAAAAGACACCAACAGATAAGTCAAAGTATTTGTTCCCAGGGCAAACAGTCTTATTAACAAGGTTCACGTAAAAGGAGAGATGAGGGGCTGTGGAGATGGCTCAGTACAGTAAGTACTTCCCTGGCAAGCGTGAGGGCCTGAGTTCAATCCCCGGTTCCGGAAAAAAAAAGGGGGGGGAGAGATGAATTAATGATTTACAAAAAATAAAATAAAATTTAAAAAACTCAGCAGGGAATCTAGCAAAAGAAATGGGCTATTTTGAGGCCATTTCATCCTTGTTGTGGCTGGCAGGGCCCTGGAGCCTGGACTGTATCACAGGGAGAGCTGCCCTACCCTGCCCTGACTCCGCAGGCTCCCCTCCTGGTGGGCAGTCTATTCTCCACTGCCTGCCTTCTCCTATGTTGGTGCCATCGATTAGACCACAGCCAGATTCTAGTAGCTCTGGATAAAGACATCATTCACTTTTGAACAGTTTCACACCAGCATTTTTTCTGATTAATTATATTAGGGATTGAACCTAGAGTCTTCACACAGTTCTTTAAAAAAAAAAAAAAACTTAAGACAGAGTGTCACTAAGTTGCCCAGGCTGGGCTCAAAGTTGTGATCCTTCCGTCTTGGCCCCCCGGAGTGCTAGGATTGCAGGCGCCACCCCCTGCCTAGCTGGCCTTCAGCTTTTGCTAGTAGCTCTCAAGTATTAGTGTGTAGAACAATTACCAGGAGTTGACAACCAGGAACTGCCCCTAAACATGGAGTTTAATTGAGTAGGTCTGGAGGGAGGCTGCAAGAGGACATTTTGGTTGAGTACGCACAATTCTCCAGGGTAGTGGAGCCAGAAAACTGCAGCAGGGCTTAATTCTTCTAGCAGGACACTGCTCTTGGTCCTGCTCATCAAATAAACACCAGAAGTTTATTTATTTTGAACCAAGGATTGAACTCAGGTCCTTCCGCTTGCCAGGGAAGTGCTTATTCCACTGAGCCATCTCCCCGGCCCCAACATCATAAGTATAAATAAAAGCCTCCCCCATAAGCATAAAAGACAATGAGACAGCTAACCAGAGAACAGGAAAGTTCCAGAGCTGTTCTGCCAGGGATCTAAGAGCCACCTTGGACTAGTCACTTACATCTTAAATGCAAAAGGAAAACACTAGTACCTAGGACTGGCTTAGAGTGAATTAATGTACTTGAACCAGTGTTGAATAATTCATAAATACTAAATAAATGTAAAATGTAATAATTACAAAAAAAAAAAAAAACCAGCTTGAAATTTGAGGCAACGAGCATACCAGGTGGCCGCTGTGGTCAGCACTGCCTCAAGCGGGACAAAGCTCCGGCTGGTATGGTAAACACAATCACTAAAGCAGGAGACTTCCAGGGAGATGGGGGAGTGATGAACAGCAGAGACAGCCTCTCCTAGACATGGTGCCCGGACGCTGGAACACAGCAACGTGAGGAAAAGAAAGAAGGAAGTTGCTTCCTGGGACGCAGGGAGGATCTAAAGCAAGAACTGAAGCCCCCAGGGAGGGCGAAGAGAGCTCAGTGCAAAAGGAGGAGGAGCAGGCAGCGCTTTCTCCAGGCCCTGAGCCCGCCTCGCAGGAGCAGCTCGAATCTGCAGACCCACGGTGACTGCTGGCGACCCCAGATGCCTCCATAGAGAAACGCACTGGTGGAGCGGAGCAGTGGACACAGCACACTGCAGTGGCCGGTGAGCTAGTCAGGTTCGGCTGCCCCCCAGGAGAGGGTGACTGTCCTACAGCCATCTTACAGATGGGCCAGCTGAACTCCGAACTTAGAGCAGCTGCAGGTTGGCTCCAGTGTCGGCAGAGCCACAGGGAGGCGAGGTCAAGTCAGCAAGAGGTGAAGGAGCTTTCTAGCTGCCAGAAGGCATGCGGAGTGTGGCGACTGCGCGCATCGGGCAGCAGCCTTGCAGCCAGAATCCGACTGAATTTCAGTGGAGTGTGAGGTGCAGGCTTGCTGGGGTATACTACACTGCCGTAAATCTACCGCTGGCTTGCGGGATTAATCAACACGGACCCGAGCTGCGTCTGCACACTGTCTACCGGTAACAGCAGAGACACACCCAGAAGTGAGGGACACCTTTTCCTTCTTTTTTTGCATTTTTCTTTTTTGTTTATTCCTGCTTTTATGATTGTGAACACTTTCTAGTTTTACTGCTCTGTTCTGCTCTTTTTCTCTTTCTTCTCTTCCCTCCTGTCTTCTGCACCAGCTGCTCAAAGTTCAAACAACCTTCCTTTGCACCCCACCACTGCATCTTTTTTGGGGGGGTCTTTTAAAGACAGGGTCTCCTTGTGCAGTCCAGGCTGGCCTTGAGCTCACTTTGTGGCCCAGGCTGGTCACAAACATCCAACAATCCTCCTGGGATTACAGGTGTGCCCTACCACACACAGTGCACACCCTTGCTTCTACTCTCCTCCTCTTCTTCTATTCGTATATTTTCCTCCTAACCCCTTTTAAAATTCCTCCCTGAGGGTAAAATTGCCAAATCGAGGGCATATTTACTGTATACAATTTTCTGGTTTGTTTTAGATTTCGTTAGACAACCACAAATCTAGTTCATACAGTTAAAGGTGGCAAATTAATAGTTACCATAACTTGTCATTTTCTGGGCTGTGCTTGATGCTACTGTTATTACTGACTGTACTACTTCAGTCAGGGTGACTGTTGTTCTGAACAGTTGTTCTTCCTGGTATGCCAAGATGAGACTGCCCAAGGGTCATAAAAAGTAAGCCATGTAAGCCAGTGCTGAGCCAGGCAGGCAACCTCTTACCCCAATAAATTAAAGAGGTAGGATCATGCAACAGACTCAAAACCCAAAGGCTAACTATACTTGGAAGACTTCTCAGAGAAGTAGTTGTTTTCTAAAGGTTCTCAATACTTGCAATAAAGGTACCTGCCATAAGCAACTTATAAGCATCAACCAGGGAATTAAACTTAAAAAAAAAAAATAAAAAGATGCATAAGCGAGATGCAACCCAGACTTCCAGCTCACCAAAGGCAAACCCAGGAGCAACGTGACGGAACAATTTGAAGCCATCCACCTGGACTCTGAACTAACAGTGGACGCTACAAAGCCAATGAATGAGACTCCAGAAAAAAATCAAATCTAAAATAATTTGTCAGATAACTACAGAGATGCTGACCATAATGATTAGTGACTTTAGAGTAGATACAGATAAAAAAACAAGAGGAGTTTAGGAAAACAATGGAAACATGATCACCCATTGTAGGAACAAATGAAATCCATAAAACAGATACAAACAGATATCCAGGAGACCAAAAATTGTATTGTGTAATCCCAGCTCTGGGGAGGCTGGAAACAGGAGGCTCACAAGACCAAGCTGCACAGTGATACCCTGTGCCAAATACATTAAAAAATAAATAACTGTATTGAAAGTATATGCAGCAGAAAGGGCCAATATGAGGTCAGAATACCAAATATAGAAGACATAACTGCAGTTAGTGATCATAAAAATAAAGATTTCTTAAAAATAGCAAGGGATCATGAAAAATTAATCCAACACCTGCTAGATGATGCAAAGAATAACAAGCTTGATCAAAGTCAGTGAAAAGGCAGAAGATGGCAAAAACAATATTTAAAACAAAACAAAACAAAACAAAAAAACCCTGTCCATGGAAACTTCCCAAGCAGGGAAAAAGAATTTGACATATACATACGTAAGGCATATAGAACGTCAGTAAGCCATGACCAAAATAAATCTACATCAAGAGAAGCAATGGTCAATATTCCAAAAATTCAACCCCAAAACAGAATACTAAAAGCTATTAGAGAAAAGAAAAAAATCACCTATAAATGAAGGCCTATTGTATTACAGCAGATTTCTCAACACATCTTCAAATCAAAGAAAGCTCAAAGTATCTCAAACCCTAGAAGAAAGCAATCTCCACCCTAGACTGATGGATCATGCAAAACTATCTTTCAAAATTGACAGAGACATAAGATACTTCCATGGCAATGAACACCTCATGAATTTCTTGACCACCAAGCGAGAGCTATAACCTGTTCTGACGTTTGTGCACCAAATACCAGAGCACCCAACTATATAAACCAAGTTTTAACAGACATGAACAATCAAAGAAGCACTAATACAGGTGTGATGAAAGACCTCAATACAGATCAAGTAGACAAAAAATCCAACAATGACATATCAGAACTGAAGCAAAAGTTGGATCAAATGGACTTTGTATATGTCCACAGAATATAGATACAAGATCAGAACACGCATTATTCTCTACTGCACACAGATGTTCCCCAAAGTAGACCACACACTGACTCACAGAACATGCTTGAATAAACACAAAGGAATTGAAATTATCCCATGTATATTATGGGACCAGTTGGAAATCAATGAATCAATAGGAAATCAATGCTAAAAGAAACCACAAAAACTTCATAAACACATGAAACAGAAATTAAACTTTCCTGGGGCCGGGGAGATAGCTCAGTAGAATAAGCGCTTGCCTGGCAAGCACAAGGGCCTGAGTTCAATCCCCGGTTCCACAAAAAAAAAAAAAGAAATAAAGAAAGAAA